CACGTGTTGAACAAAGAGTTGTCATATTATCCGTTCATGATAACGGCGATTTAATTAAAAAAAAAGAAAAGAGATTTTTTTTTTTAGTTAAGCAGGGTATTTTTTTTCCAAAACAAAGCCGCGGGTTGTTCACGCCCGACTAAGAGGTCATTGGTCAAGTGGTGATCACATGACGCACGAAGGAGGAGGAAAGATACCCGACCAAGACCTCATTGGCCGAGAGTGATCACGTGACGCACGAAGAAGACTGTCGACGCCCCCATTCAGAGTATAAGTATGAGATGCCGCTACGAAGAAGTGGGGAGGGCAGTTCACGCCCCTCAGAAGCATGGTGAGAAAGTGGGAGTGAAAAAAAAAAGGTTACCAAAAATGGAAAAGAGTGGAAAATCCCTAACCAGAAATAAAAGAGGTGGATATGTATTTAGAATTATCGAGGAACTCCCCGACGCCAACAGACCCAACCCGGTTTTTGACGGCGTCAATAAAAACGAGGCCCCAACAGGCAGAAATCAGTTCAGTCCCGGACGGCAGAGATGAGTGCCCAGTAGATCAGACCCTGGCGGGCAGAAGAAAAGTTCGAGCCCTGACGGCTGAGATGAGTGTCCAGTAGTAGTTCAGACCCTGGCGGGCAGAAGAGAGTTAGTTCAGACCCTGGCGGACAGAAGAGAGTTAGTTCGGACCCTGACGGGCAGAAGACAGTTCGTTCGGCCCTGGCGGCAGAGATGATAGACCAAGATAGCTGATCAAGATTCACGCAAAATTTTGGACTCCTCTTCAACCAAGAACAATTATTTTGAAGAGCGACTTAGAACCAGACCACAGAAATAAGTTTTTCGACTTTCGTCCAAAGACACACCGAAACACAAATTTCTTAGAGAGCAAACAACTTGAAGCGTTAAAACTTGCCTAGCGAAAACGACGTGTCACAATCCACAGAACGGGTCGGGAGATAGATGCAGTCCTATGTATCGAACAACTAGACATAAAAAGTTTGTTACCTTTTTCTTTGATACTTTGAACTTTTGAGTTTTCATTTTATTTTCTTTTATGCATATTTGTGTGTTATCACCCCCGTTGAACTCAATTTGCATTACGGCCCCAACCCCTGTTTGATCTCGTCTGTCTAAGATCAATTCACAACGTGAGTAGGCAGACTGGAGATCAGTGCAGTTACCTTGGTAACCAGGCGTTGGAAGCGAGTTGGGAACGGCGAGGCTGATATCAAATCTAACCAGATTCCCACCCGAATCACCAAAAGTTTAGAACGTCACATTTGGGTGCCGCGACCGATACCAAGCCAGTTGGTCGTCACAGTACGAGACAATACGACTGACGCGACAGGCGAACGTCACGTTTGGAGCAGCGACACCCGGACGGAGCAGCGAGGAGCGAACAGCTGGCGCCGCGGCGAAGACGTCTGGTTGGTGCTGTTTAGGGACGTCACAACTGGTGTCGTGGCCGGGATAGGACCCTGGAACGGCCACGTCACAACTGGCGCCGTGGTAGATCAGGATAGAACTTCACAGTTGGCGCTGCGACCGGGGGACGACGTCACACGACTCGTCAGTGCTTTATTATATTATTCTGAAGGTTATTCGATGAGCGGTAACGGTTACGTTTCAAATTATTCTAAGAGGTTTATAAGTAGAGACAATTGGGGATACAAATGTGATTATTTGTTAACTTTTTACTCATTATTTATTATATGTTACTTAATTATTTTTTGTTGATTATTATTATTACATTTACTCATTCGTAGTTTGTTAATTTGTTCATTTATTTATTGAGGTTTTTTATTTATTTTGTTCTATTTTGTGGGGGGTTATCTTATTTATTTCTTTAAAATTTTTGGCTTTGCATGTTTCATTTTTGGGGTTGTATATAGTGCATATATTTGCATTTTCCATGGTGATAATTTACGAAGTATTCATTTTTGGCTTTCAATTTTGAAGTAACGTACACTAAAAATCCATTTTGTGTCTGCATTTTGAGATGAGTTCTGTTCTGATTTTTGTGTTGGTCTTGGAATGTGTTTATTATTGTAGATAGATTTTTTTTTAAATTTATTTTCGTAACCAGATGCTGATTTACATGTTTTCTATGATATTTTTGGTGTAATTAGGTTTTAATTTTCTATATATTTTTAAAAAGAATTGTACTATTCGCGTATTTAGTATATGTAAATGAAGTTTTGTGTGTACAGTTTCTCTTTTTCCAGGATTTTTCAGTTACTCCCATGTATATTTTCTTCGTTATCTTCTGATTATACAGTGGCTTGGTATATCACATTGTTCTTGCAAGCAATTGACATTTAAGATATAATCTTTTTTGTTCAGCATTTACAGAATGGCTTGCTTTGTCCACGTGGTTTGTTGGTTGTTTTTCTCTTGTGATTTTTATTATACGTGTCATGTCATTGCAACTGTAGATGTCATCACACTAAAAGACCGCAAGGAAAACTTCTAAAGAAACACAACATGCAAACTCAGAAATTCCATCAGTCTTGATCAAGTATTCATTCTGATATCGCTAATTCTAAAAAGCTTGAAAAAAAAACAGATCCTTATTAGATTTTGCATTATGCTTACTTTAATCATATTCATAAGTACCGAATCTTGCCATGGTGAACTATTCAAGAGTGCACATAAAACACTCAAATATACACTCAGTGTAACGTTCATGAAACAATCTGGTAGAAAGTTCTTGGGAATCGAACTCACTTGCAGGGATTAGTGACATTAATTTGCAATCCATCGCACTTTGTCATGAATATTTTGGATGTATATATAACATGCGATCCAAAATTTCAAAATATTTACTGTGTAAAAACTGCCTCCTCAATTTAAGCATTAATTAGAGAAAATGATTTTTTTAAAATTTATTGTCTGAATGATTTCAAGAGTTAGGTATATCTTCTGGGTAACGTATCACATGAACCGATCGATCACTCGAAATACATTCTTTGAAATTCCATGAAACATCATGGATCATTGGTTAATATGCAAGCACAATGTATAACACACATGCAATTCTTCATAACTTCTTTATGTAGAAAAACATTCATTTTTTACGGCATAACAAATATCAACGAGAACCTATCATTCTATCACGCAAAGCAATGTTTTGTAATCTCATTTCCCTGGTTGATAGTTTGAAAAATGAAATTTTGCTTCAGAAAAAATGACCACTAGAAGATAATGCGTTTTATGGAGACAATATTAAATATTAATGCCTATGCACTACACGCAAAACGTTTGGGACCAAAATAAAAATTAAATATAAATAAATTTAAAATAAAAACACGTTAAAATGGGATAGTTTTGTATTTATTCAAAATAAAAGATAAAAGTCCACTAATTATAGCGTATTTGCTTGTATTTGTCAGTCTATCTCCAGGCTTCATTTACTACAAACAATTTCAATTTTGGATTTTTGCTAAATTATGAATATTTTGCATATTATATTTTGTTTTCACTATTAACCCATCAGTAAATGTTAATAGAGGCTCTAAATGTTAACTCAGTACTGACAATTATTGTCGACAAAACATTTTTAGCTGACTCTGTTTGAAGAGAAAAAGTTTACGCCATAGTTTTTGTTAATTTAATTTTTTAATTTTCAAGTACTTGACACAAAATGGCAAAATCAAAGAAGTTAAGCGTTGAGGTGAGGGCAAACGTTGAAATTATATTCAAAGAAGAATACTCTCAAAGAAAATATCCAAAGAAGTTGAAGTTCTACACAAGGGACGTGATATTCGTTACAAAAAGCAGTTAGAAAATGGCACAAATATTCACAGAAGGCATTGAGAGACAAAAGTGACAAAATGCTGAAGATAAACAATTGATCAATGAGAGAAAAGGAAATACAAGGAAAATTGTTCCAGAGTTAACAGTTGTACTTAATTGCTCTTGACAGCAACCAGTGTCGTTCTCACCTTTGAAAGGGCGACTTAGATCAACAGATCTCAGTTGGGGTGTGGGGATTTCGTAACTATCAAAGAAAATCTGTTAAGAATGCTGAACAAGCAGATAAGACTGTTATGAGCAAAAAACATAAGAACTGGAGATTGAAAAAGTGGTAAAATTTATTGAGGACAGATGAGTCCAAGTTTGAACTTTTTGGTAGTAAGAGGAGAGTGTATATGAGAAGAAATCCAGGAGAAAACCAGAATGATGAATGTGTGGTTCCAAGAATTAAGAATGGTGGTGAGTTTGTCATGGTGTAGGGTGTCTGTGGGGAGATATCTGTATATTTAATTTACATCGAAAGGAATCATGAGAAAAGAAAAATATCATTCGCTTTTGCAAAGACCTGATACACCGTCTAGTTTACGCATAATTGGAAAACAAAATACCTTTCAAAAAAATAGGGACACAAAATACTCTTCAACATTATGTCAAAATTTTGGAAATTATGGCTTGTCTGCCTCCATCTGCTGACTAATTTCCCATTGAATTAATATGGGAATAATTGAATAGAAGATTTCGAGGAGAATACCTAAAGAGTGAGAGTGAGCTTTTACAGCTCTTGACGAATGCTTGGGAATGTCTGCCATCTACTTTTTTCAAAAACTGTTCGGAAGGATGCCAATATTTGTAAAACAGTGTACATACAAAATTTCACTTCAATCCAACTGCTGACTTGGATAGCTAATTGCAGGCAGTCATAAAATTTAATCGCAAAATCATTTCTTTGAACATAAAAAGAATATCATAGTAACGACGGTTGATAATTTGAAGATTATCAAGTATTGCGTCATGAAATCTTTGTAACTTTTTAATTGTCTTGCTTAGAGATCAATGTCAGTTTGTCTCAAGAGAGAATAAATTTTGAATTAAACGACTACACTAAAAATTTAGGAGCTCAGAAATACCAAAACTCGCTGTTTGTCAATGTGATTTGATATAAAGAATTTGATAAACTTACTTCATTACACACACACACACACACACACACACACACACACACACACACACACATGTAAAAATGGATATATTCTAATTCGCAAAAATATTTATAAACGTTTCGATAAGCGAAAAACACAGAAAAATCACAAAAAAGACCAGACAAGTAAAGGAATTAAGTAAAAGATGGAAATCATAAGAAGAAATTAAGTGACAAAATGAGCGACAAATGACGGAAAAGGATTGAAAAAAGAATAAACGAAAGTAAAGTTTAAAAGAAGATGAGAAAGGAAAGAAAATAATATGGAGAAGAGTAAATAAAAACAGAAGAACTAGAAATAAGAGAAAGAACGAAAAAATATATAAAGAATAAATATTAAGGAAACAAATCAACAAGAAGGAAGTGGAATGAATAATGAAATTAGGAAAAGAAATATGAGATCGAAAGACAGTACCAAAAAAGTGATGACATAAGAAAGGAGACGCATAAACGAAACTAAGAAACAGGAAAAAAAAATAATGACGGACAGCAAGAAGAAGCTATCATCATTTGTTTTTATTTTAATCTTTCTCTTGATTGATTTCAAGGAATGTCAGTGGCGCTGAATGTTATGTATATCTTAATATCTCACTTATTTCCTATTTTGTCTTCAGTGGAATTTAATATATTCGTTGACTGTGAAACACTTTCTAAACATCTTTAGCACATATTGGCCAAATTAGAAACATGCCATTCGCAGAGAAAGCCTTCAGGGACACTCCAGGCAATATCAGTCGATAACAACTTGAACAATGCCTAGTCATGTACGAGGCTAGAATAGTAATGTCATAATAAGATTGTTTTGCATGTACTAAAATTGTAGGCATCTGGAATACTCGGATATTTTATATACTGACATGCCAAATGTCATGGGATTGCAATATGTAACGGTAATGATAGCTATCGCCACCTAGACATGAATTTATGAAAATACGCAGGCCTATATCCGTTGTGCTGTGACATCCGTCATGTCAGTATAAACATCGCCTCTGTTGCACATGGTAGGCCGGTGTGAAGTATCGGACTTCAAACGAGGAATGACAGTAGGTGTCAGACTGATCACATTATGGAGACATTTGATACCCCTCTATGTACAGTGTCACGTGTGTACCAGGAATACACGACGGCTGACCACGAGTCCTTAATGATCCTGACCAGATGCATCTGCTTAATGTTGTGTGCGATAACAGTCAAGAGACGCTAGCTTAAATCACATCCACCTTCCATATAGAAGGTATCAGAGTCATATTCAGCAGGTCAGTTTATTGTTCTTTAGCTACCATGGAACATGGGTTTCAAAGATCCACCAGAGTGTCCCTGTCGACACCAGAATACCGTAGAGATCACATCACCTGATTTTCTCGCGTCACTTATTGGACCCTCGAGAACGGGAAATATGGGGCGTGATTCAATCAGTCTCATTACCAGAAGTTTCAAATGTGTGCAGATCCTACGAGGCTATAGATTCTAGTCTTCAAATTTACTTAGAAATTTACTTCGCGATATTTTGAGAAGTTCGGTATTGTTCTCTCTTTAGTTTGACAATAGAGGTACATTATGTATAATTATTACTTTTTTCCTTGTTCATTCGCGTCTCCGTCAAAAACTGCGTCATGTCAGTAACTAGAAATTTTCCTTAATAAAATGACAATGTAACAGCGTGGATATGGCTTTATGCAATGTGAACGTCCTGATAACTACGTTTAAATCTTTTTGATAACAATACTTGACTTTGTGGTGTTATATATATATATATTAATTACTTTCTTTCCTTTGGTTTACTTCCTTTGTTTTGTTTTCCCAATCAAAATATTGCATCGTGTAATCTTCTTCGGATTTAATTTGTTTGGGTGATTGTATTAAATGTCCAAATGAATTTGTCTACTCGAAAGTAAATGCGTAAACTTGCTGGACAGACTGAACTAGCAGCACTCAGATCACCCACTTTCACCCAAGCTTTGACCCGTAAGAAATCCGCGGGGTGACGATCAAAGTGCTACAGACACTAAATTCTCCTCTGTTTTAGTCGCTTTTCTATAAATAAAACAAAGGAGGCGATGGAATCAAGTGTGTCTAAAAATTACACGAGTAATTCGATCGCTTCTGCATTCCAAGATGACCAACAGAGACACATGGTCAGCCAAGTGTAAATGATTTGTGTAACCGAGCAGAATTTATTTGATGCCAGACCAACATGTCTCTGGCCAGTTAAGCGCAGAAAGTCTGTGAACCATGCCCGTTAATACTCATATGCAGGATGTCTCGTGGTATTCGATGTTGTAGTTTTATTTTTCTAATACGCTGTCTGTGTTGGAGCGACAATTGCAGGCTGTTAGATCTGGGGAGGTGGCACCTGGCTGGCTGACGATGGTCAATCTATTTTTCTATTCGAGATGACGGAAAATTTTGACCGCAATCAAAACAACATCTAGTGGTAGCGATTGATTTATAATATCCCCCCTTTTGTTTTGTTGCGGTTGTTCGAGATTTTTGGCCATTGCAAACAGACGGTACTGCAATCGAGTTACAAAACGAAAATTTCAAATTGAACTTTATAAAGCAAGCGGTCGCTCCAAATACCATTCGTAATTTTATTTAGCGCTTTTATGACAGCTCACGTTATAAATATGAGATTCATTTTAGAGGACACGATAGAGTAATGGATTTCAGCTCGAAGAGCCGAGTTCGATTCCCAGTTAAGTTCACTGCATTCACTTACCTTGTGAAATGTATGAAACCACCTCGTTAGATATAGATAAATAGATATGGGTAATAACAAGTCCCTTTAACCTCGCTTGGCAACCATTTTGAATTCAAACCACCTTCTCCCTTGTAGGTTTTAATATTTTAATTTCTGAAAGTATGAACGGAATAACCTCAACATCACTGTTGCAAAAGGAAGTGGTAAGATATTGCACACTTTGGCACCATGAACCACAATTGTGAGGGGAGTGGTGACCACAGCGTCGCAAAATGCGATAACTCAATAAATGATGATATTCTTTTTAACATGAAGCTTGTATTTCGTGGGTAGATGTTTTCTTTATTTTTAACAGTGAAATGAAATTCAACAAGTCTTGCTGAAGAAATTAAGTCACTCGATTGCTATACGAGTTATTCAATATTTCAGAGAAATCATTTTAAACAGTCTTACCAATTAGGCAAAAACAGCTATCAGGATAAAGCAAGATTCAATTAGAATAAATGAGCCTTGCTTTATCCTTTCTATAAAGAAATGCACTTTTTTCACTTTCTGAAAGTATATATCTGCTAGCGTCATTTTATTCTCAATAATTAAACAAAGTAATTCTTATGTAATTAACAGACTGTTTCAACAAAATTTAATCCTTGTTATTAAAAATGTTATATCTTGTGGGTATATGTGAATTTTTATCTGTACATATAGGAATACATATATAGATTTATTCTTTTAATTACCTCATTTATGGGAGATGAATTTCATTTAAAATATGAATAATTTTCTTACTGTTTCCGCTAACTTTCCACTTCAAAAATAGTTTGCTATATAAAAATATGCAATGTAGATTTATTTTATCGTGGAAAGTTGAAAAGATATGAACGCACACATATAATCACTTTCTTTTTTCCTCTCTTTTGCACATAAAATTTTAGATAAGACCTTCCTTTGTGGTTGCAATATTTCCCACCTGTAATAATGAATGGCTCTGAAAATAAAGTACAAACAAAATGTTTTAATGCCATTTTCATTTTCTCTCAGTCTGTCTTACTGACAGACTAAATCTAACTGAATGAGGAAATCTAAGTTTATGATAATCACTTGTTTCTACAGAAAGAGAAGCAAATAAAAATATAATATTAAAATCGTATTCTGTTTCTGCAAGTATGGCATATTCTAAGTCATCATTTCCGGTCGTTTCATTCGGTTTTAGGATCAGGGCCGGAAATGTAGAGAATATGTATTAAAAATTAGTGAAAGAAAAAAATAATAATAAATTTTATTCCCTTTGGTCTATTAGGCACAAATAGGTTCTCTCAGTGTATGTCAAAGAAATTAAGGGTCATCTAGTCGCGAGTTGTTCGTTGGTAGGTCATCAAAACGATGAAGTGGTTGAACATTTTAGCTCGCAATATGTGTACAGTAAAAAAACTATTTGGTAGATTTAAAATTTATGTGTCTCTATTCAAACATGTAGGCCGAAACATGCTTTTGAGAATGTAGATTGTTACGCCAATCTTTCAAGTGTGTCGCAATGACTGACTAGAAAGAAAAACAGCATTTTGCTTCATTAATTGTAATGAGATGGGCTGTTATTAGCACAGGTATGGAACATTATTAACAAAGGCAAGGAATAACTATTCAGTTATGAAAAATAAGTATTTTGAATTCTTTATTCTATCCACGTTCGGTTCAATATCCGGAGATTCAAATCTGGCAAAAGATGGACGATGCATGATCGGAAACGTATAAGTATCTAAGGTTATATTTTGTCCTCTTTTTCAGCATGTTTTTGATGACTTTGAGTTATTTCCCTTTGTTTTTGCTGTTTCCATATTCGATGTTCTCTTGGTTGATTCCTTTCTTATAGATGCCAATTGGTTGTTAATATTTTCTGTTATT